TGTTTTTCAGTCGCTCACGACGTCGTTTTCTCCTTTCCTGTCTCTTATACACATCTAGATGTGTATAAGAGACAGGAGAGAGAGAGAGAGAGAGAGAGAGAGAGAGAGAGAGAGAGAGAGAGGATGACTCCCATTGTTGTAGTCTGGAAGTGGGTCTGCGGCCGTGACGTGATCATCGCGGAGCTCAGAGACAAACGCAACGGGCGTCATGGGCGTGATATGGTTTTCTGTGATGGTGTCACACGTCACGACACCCGTTTCTATGAAGTGCGCGTCAATGATGTCCATGCGATGGAAATCACGACTGGATTGGGGTATGTCGGCAATGGCGCTTTGAGCCACGTCCTCCTGTTCGTGACGAAGAGGCATCCGCTGGTGCCAAACAGATGGGAAGGTCCCGATCGGGACGCGGTGGGGGACACCATCAAGTACCTTGTATCCGCCATTGCCGAAGAGTTCGTGAACTGCATGGACGAAACGCCTTGGTACGACACCATCTTCGACCCCCCTTTGGAGGGCAGGGGGTACTTGCACGGGCTGGTGGATATATGGGGACCTGAGGATGGCCTTCGTGTCCGTAAATGGTGATCACCACGAACGTTAACCGCCGGTGATGTGTGACGATGTGAGTGCGGTGACGACATTCGATCGCTGGTTTTTTTTTGCTGTCGTTGGGGTCGTTCCGTATGTTACGGTTCCGGCATAGGTTAAACAGTTGCTGTTTCGCCATAGTGTTTGGGAGAGAAGGTTCGAGGTACAATGAGTGTAGATTGCCGAAGCAGGTCAATCCTTCCTTTTAAGGAAGCAATCAATGCCTGTTTCGATGTTGTGGCCCAGCAAACGGGTAGACAGTCGATTTCGTCGTTCCGTCTGTTACAATTTTGAATTCCGTTGGGGATGACATGTGTCTTTTTTTTGGGGACGTGTCATGTAAGTAGTGGGATCCATCGGGCGAGTCCGTAGCGGAATGAACCGCCGATGATGATGTCGGCGGTGGTTAGGACGTGGATGATGATGGTGTCGACAAAGATGATGATGACGAGTTATATGACGGCGGCGATGATGATGATGATGATGATGATGATGATGATGATGATGATGATGATGATGATGATACTTCGTCATCACCATCATCATGGCCGCCGTCATCGAACTCGCCTTAATCATCTTCGTCGACACCATCATCATCCACGTCCTAACCACCGCCGACATCATCATCGGCGGTTCATTCCGGTATGGAGTCCATGGACAGCGTCCGTGCAGAGTGTGCATCGCATTCGGGACAGTGACATGCAAGTTGTCGCCGATGTCAATTGCAGTGATTGAGGTTATGTTAATGAATGCTGCACATGTGCCACTTTTTTGAATGCGGTCCTTTAAATGGATTTGAATTTTGAATCTTGTCTCTCATCTCCTTCCGGGTATATGTCGTCCATTTCATTTCTTTTTCTCTTCTTGAGCAATCCTTGTGTCACACCATTTGACAGGGGGGTCTTGAAGGTGGAATCAATTTTTTTTTTTTGTGCGATCCTTGTGCCAGTTTTGTGCATGGGTGTACACACAAACACATATTATATGTTTTCATTCTTTTATACGTCTATTTACAGCTAGCAAGCTCAGATAATAAGCTCGGCTGGGTGCCTGGTGCCTGGCGTCTAATCTCTTATGGAGAGAACAAGGGTGCTTGATTGGTTAAGTGTATTTGGCGCCCCTTCAAGGTGAAGAGGTACAAATATCTTTTCTTATTTTCTGGGTAATTGTGCTTGGCATATTAGCATATCTGGCGCCCAATCGGGTGAAGAGGCATATCTGTCCCCAGAAGTCTTTAATCCCTTCAGCTTCAATTCTGATATCTGTTCCACATTGAGAATGTAAGGGACGCTGGACCCGGTTTCCAGCAAATACACTATTGAGAATGTAAGGGACGCTGGACCTGTTTTCCAGCATTTAAAAAAAAAAAGAAGAAAAAAAGGATGTTTTTAGGGAAAAAAAAAAGAAAAAAGAAAAAGAGAGAGAGAGAGAGAGAGAGAGAGAGAGAGAGAGAGAGAGAGAGAGAATGCACGTGAAAATATCTTTGTCCATCACTGAAATTATGACAATCTCGCACACAACCCCGGAACCCTATGAACTACCAATCTGTCACGACCCCGGACCCACTCCTGCTGCCACTCCCTGCCGCTATCCCAAAATCCAATGTGCTATGTTATCCACGTCGTCAACTATCGCCATGGACATGGCGGCGGCGCACCACGAACCGCCACGTGGTGGTCCACATGCTGGATCAGACTCCTGCGAACCAACGCCCCTAGCGCGGAGCCGCATGTAGGGTCATCGTCCACCATGGGCTCGACGTTGAGGTCGGGCATGTGACGAACGAAACGACGACGATCCCTCCGCCGACGACGGCGTCTGGGATGACCGCCATCACCATCGCTGTCGCTGCTACTATTGAGCACACCGGGGTCAAAATCCACCCTGTGTTCGATCATTAGGTTATGGAGGATGCAGATTGCCATCACTTCCTTACAAATGGTTTTCATGTTGCTGATGTGCGGTCGGATGAAATTCCTCCACACGGCCTTCAGTCGGCCGAGGCATCGCTCGATGCAAGACCGCACCGCTGAGTGACAACTGTCGTAGGTTCGTTCCTGAGCTGTTGTAGCCGTCCTCCCGACAGGTGTCATGATCCATGGCAGGAGAGGGTAACCTTCATCACCAAGCACATAGCGTCCCACGTGTCTGCCGTCGTGCAGGTGAGCACCTCCCTCGCTGAAGACACCTGCCCCTTGTGAGGCCTCACGGAACAGTTCCGAAATGCGCAAAACTCTTGAGTCATCCACAGACCCTGGGCACCCCATGTAAACGCTAGTGATTCTGCACTCGTGGTCACAAACTACCTGCGCCACGACAGAGAACTGTCATGTGTGATGGTAGTAGCAATCCCCACGCATACCCTTCGGTTTGTCGATGTACAAATGGGTGCAATCAATTGCCCCGATGCAACCGGCGAATCCTTTCGCCTCGAAAGCGTTCTCCACTTCCTGCATTCGAGGGCCTGTCGGCCACCGAAGGAGATGGCCATACTCGCTGATGATAGCATCTGCGACTTCGTCATTGCAACGCAAGGCACTCGCAAGCCCCATGCCCATGCCATGCGAGGTCTGCCGGTACCCGCCGGTCGCCCACCTAATGAGAGCCATGGCGAACTTCTGACCAGCAGGAATAGGATTCCGGAAGTTCGTGGGGGCTCACTGGATATGGGGTGCAATTCTACCCAGCACTTCGAAGAATAGCGGGCGAGGCAGTCTGCAGAATTGGACAAACACCTTGTCGTGTTCACGCCCAACTCGCTGCAAATCCCTCCACACACACCCGCTTCGTTCCACGACCCATATCCGCCGTCGGCGCTCCATACGTCTTCCCAACTCCTCCGCCGCCAAACTGGTGAGAGCGAATCCGTGCATCMCCCCGCCTGCAAGGAGTGGCAACGACGTCGCCACGTCCCCGGACAGGAATGGGGCGAATGCAACAGCTTCGAGGACGGCCATGGCCGCCGCATTGCGCCTGTGCACCCACTGGGTTATGGCGAAAACCAAGAAGAAGAGCATGTCTTCCCACTCCTCTGACGAAACTGCAGATGGAACCGGACTGTCCATCTCCTCTATTGCCAGCAGTTTGCAAACCACCACACGACGGGCTGGCACACACCTCCCACACAAGCACACCTCTCCTCCGCGGATATGGAGCGAATGGAGGCAGTTCTCGAATGCCCTCGGAAGTGCTCACATCACCACGGCGCTCTCGGCTATGCAGGTGTCACTTCCGGATAACGGACCGCATTTCATCGACAATGAATTTGAAAACGCCGCCGGGAGCCTCCTCAACGGCTAGTTTCACACTGAGGGCACCGTATGCCAGCAGGGGACAGTGCCACACAGTTCCACGGCATGTCGGTCGCGGTGCGACCATGGCGTCCCGCAAGGACAAGTCCACTTCTGCCGCTGGTTCACGGAGCTGGAGCACTTGGTTCACCACACTTTCCATTTCGGGAGGCGACCTTCCCATTTTTCCATTTCGGGAATGGAAGTCCTTTTCCAGAAGCCGGCAAGACCGTGGCGGTGGGGCCTCGACTTTTTCTGGAAATGGTTTTCCAGACGGCGTTGGCCGTTTTCCGCGGCCAACCATTTTTTCCTACCGCCGAGCAGTGGGGTCCAAGCCTAAGGCCGACCCCAACCTCGTTTGGGGTTGGCCACACCCCCAACCGATTGAAAAGATTCTGGCGGGAAGCTGTCTTTGCACGGGCATGCCCAGTGTTAAGGAGAAGAGGAGGGGAACGAAGATCTCCTTACTTTTTCGGGTAATACATGTAAAATACTGACGGTGGGATCATGAGTAGTGCACGTCAGGATTTGGGTCACTCAACTGCCCCACAAACTCGTTTCTATCCTATCCCGTTGCTAGTGGGACCTCGCCCCTGAATGTATCTTATGTGCCTTACCAACTGAGCTAGGCCCACAGGCCACAGCCTTTTCTTGTCTTTTGCGCATGCCGTTTTTTCTCTTTTGTGCATGTGGAGAGTAGTGGAGCCAGGACCATCCAGCTTAGGCCGAAGCCTGCAGGTCTTTCGCAACAGACCCAAGCAGCTCTGTGGCTGCATGCCCTACGTTTTTTTTTTTTTTTTTTTTTTTTTTTTTTTTTTTTTTTTGGGGGGAGGGGGGAGGTCGACCGGCCCCGACCACGGGAGCTCTGTGGCTGCATGCCCTACGTTTTTTTTTTTTTTTTTTTTTTTTTTACCTCCCGTGGCCCAGCGACACGGCAAGATGGGTCGGCCACCCCCAAAAAAAAAAAAAAAAAAAAAAAAAAAAAAAACGGCCATTCTTCATTTTTTTTTTTTTTTAATCTCTGTTGTGGCTTAGCCACGCAACGAGATGCCTTGGCCAGGCCCAGAAAAAAACAAAAAAAAATGGCTACGTGCCTGACTGAATTGCAGTTACAAACTCGGCGGTGCGACTTTCCTGCAAAGCAGAGTTTCGACCGGATGTAAACATCTGACCGGACTGGACTGAGAAATGGCAGGTTGAAATGAAAATCAAACCATAACCGCACCCCAGTTTTCTCTTCTTTTTTTCTTTGTTTTTCTTCAGAAAAGCCCAGGATGTTGTAGAGGCTGGATTCTAGTTGTATGACAGTGACCTTCGGCACTCGGCCATGTGGCTGAGGCCCCCTATTCCTATGGGACTACCTCCCCCCATACCACTCTCATATTTCTTCCCGGCGCACCCCTACTCCCACTGTCCTACCTCAGTGTCTACCACTCAGGATCACCACCCTCTAGTCTGGGGTTGACCTTGACCGGACCACGGTTGCAAGTACCAGGACTCAGCTGAGCCCCACTCACCCCACTCAGCCGTGACGAAGCATAGTCGAACGAGCCTGTCGCCCGGGTACTTCAGGCACTAGTATAGATGTTTCACTACAAGTCCCATAGGTGGACCTATTTTGCGTTCCTACCGTTATGTACACGGCAGTTGTTACTGTCGTTTGTTGGTAGGTTGTTCACTGTGTACATTGGTGGTGATACTACTTGTTGTTGATGGTGAGCCATTTCTTGTTTCTTGAATTTTGTGCAAGGACATGGGCGGCAGGCAACCCCAATCAATCCCCCCTTTTTTTTTCTTTTTTTTTTTAAGAAAAATTTGAGCTACTTAGAAAATTGTTAAGACGAACTTCAGAAATAGGCAAGATTTCAGAAAACGACTCAGAAAGCCCCTATCAATCCTCTTTACCTCACTCCGGCAAGACTTACTGCAGCAGAGCCACCATCTCCGCTGCTGCTGTACCCTATTTCCATCCTACAAGCTAGCCCCCTCACTAGTAGGACGCTTCATATCCCACCATCTACTTCTCCCACTCACCTCTTTTTTTGAAACAATGCTCCAACGTATGCGTGGGGAGCAGCACGTGCTGGGAACCGGGCCCAGTGTCCCATCAGAAAACATATTAGGAAACGTATGCGAAACAATTGAGATACCGGGGCAATTACCCGGCTTTGGCTAAAGAATCCTGAAAACACATGGGGATAGTCACAGACCGAGCACCACAGAAGTCTCCAAAATACTCAAAGCCTCCAGGGACCCCAAACAAAACCCTCCACCATCCTCCGACCTTGTTTTATTCACTGTCGGGCTCTTCCAGGCCTCACACCCTCATCCTGCTAAGTTACAAGGCAACACTGTGATGCTCTAACCTCACGCCCGGCGCGACTTCCTGATCGGAGTAGGATGGGGGCCTAGAACTGCGAAAGGGTGTGTGCCAAGGATTTTAGGAAAGTGGGGGTGGAGTCCCAGGTCGGAACTGAGATTTCCGGTGGCAAGTTTAGGGGCAATGGTGCAAGATGGTACGCGAAGACCGTGTCTGGGATTACCGTCTCTGCCAGTCGCGTCGCTGTAGTCAGCTTCGCGGGTTGTACTGGCGATCGCGCGGTTCGACCAGTTGTCGGCGCCGCACGGCTTCGGTTCAGGTTCGTCGAGCAATTTCCGAAGCTCGATATGCCTGGTGTCGTTGACACTTTTCGCGCGGTGTGCGGGGCCAATAGCGGGCTATGGAATTCCACGGAACCACTGTGAGCTGGTGATATGGAAGAAGGAGGTGAAAGGGAGGGAAACTGGTGGCAATAACGACGGAGCCGGGGGATATGTAATATTGCATGTTATAAGTATCCGGGTAGTCGGGGCCCCTAGGATCGTTAGTTACGGCCCAGTGGAAGTCCCTTGCGCACAATGGTCGTTCTCTGTCAGACAAAGGGGAATTCCGGGTTTCTCAAGTTTCCCCGCCGTATGAGTTGTTCACCTTCCCAGTATTCGCGATATTCCGGGTCCCTCAGACTCTCACGATCGGGGTTCCAAGAGGGAAATTCCACAGCCATATCCGTTTAGTGAACTCGGTCTCTTGCATCCTCATACTGCGTTCAAGGTCGACTTATGCAGGCCACTCGGCTTTTCTCGAGATCGCGGTCGTATGCGAGCGCGCACATGAGAGAAAGTGGAGCGGTCCTAGGTTCAGTGTACCAATCCCGTTCGGCCTACATGCAACTGTCCTGCACATGCTATGTTGGGCAAGATCCAGACATTACATTCAGATCCATGCCATACATGTGACCAAAAGGAGAGAAAAGGGGAGAGGGTGATCAACTCCTCACAGCATTCTTGGTGATTGAAGACTAACGATTGAACCCAAACATCCATAGCGAGTGTTTTCAATCAAATATGAGAGTATGGCTCATGCAAATGGATAACTTGAATAAAAGGTGACAAAACAGGCATCGCAAAACAAGATTGGAAATCCAAAAAGAGATCACTAACGGGAAACAGCTCACATCCATTCCATGCATGCACGAGGCAAAAACGAGAAGGAAAATCCGAGAAGATTTACACAGAGAAGTCTGAAACGGCCGCAATAAAATCGGCCATAGCAGGAGCCAAAATTATACAGATAAACAAAAGAAAGAACCTCATCCAACACCCACAACTGCTCTCTCTCTCTCTCTCTCTCTCTCTCTCTCTCTCTCTCTCTCTCTCTCTCTCTCTCTCTCTCTCTCTCTCTCTCTCTCTCTACACTCCCGATGCAGGCAGTCCGTCACCTCGCACCAACTCAGAGTTGTCACCCCGGTTGGTTCGAGCATGCAATCCTGGTTCGCCCATGCGCCACAGTCCGTCGCAGCCTCGCATGTCAACCCCGCATACCCGACACCAGCTCGTCAGATCGCCCAACTCTCTCGTTGACTCACCTCTCAAGCTGACTCGTTAGCCGACCCACACTGATTTGCGCTAACTCCAAGGTTCTTAGAGAGCAAACTAATCGCGCTTGCAAAATTTATAGCATGCATGCCTGCGCGAAAGGTACGGGATTAAGCTCAGGTGGACATGAGGAGAAGAGAGGAAGTGTCTACGTCTGCATGGCCTGCCCGGGGGGTGGGGGTCGTAGCCACACTCCACGCATCGATCCGGTCATGCAGGCGATCCGGCCAATTAGAACAGAGTATGCAAGGCGAGGAAGAAGGAGAAAGCGGGCAAACACGAGGAAACCAAGAAAGAAGAGAGATACAGTTACAATTGCGCCCGCCAAAAATGACAGTTACACAAGATTAAGGGCGCGATCCAGTCAGAGTCCAGTTCCCAGCGTAGCAAAATGCGCTCAAGCACGGTGCAACAAAATTCAGAGTACCTAAATTCCTAGCCTAAGTCCTAATTGCAAAAGGAAATTCTGAAAAAACAGAAAAAGAAAAAATAATTCTGTAAGCCCGTGGCGGCTCGACATCAGTTGAAAATTTGCTCAGGTGGACATGAGGAGAAGAGAGGAAGTGCCTACGTCTGCATGGCCAGGCCGGGGCGTGGGGGTCGTAGCCACATTCCACGCATCGATCCGGTCATGCAGGCGCTCCGGCCAATTAGAACAGAGTATGCAAGGGGAGGAAGAAGGAGAAGGCGGGCAAACACGAGGAAACCAAGAAAGAAGAGAGATACAGTTACAATCCCGCTCGCCAAAAATGACAGTTACACAAGATTAAGGGTGCGATCCAGTCAGATTCCAGTTCCCAGCGTAGCGAGATGCGCTCAAGCGCGGCGCAACAAAATTCAGAGTACCTAAATTCCTAGCCTAAGTCCTAATTGCAAAAGGAAATTCCGAAAAAACAGAAAAAGAAAAACAATTCCGCGAGCCCGTGGGGGCTCGACATCAGTTGAAAATTCAAAAACGATATTCCCGCGTGACGATCGTGCCAAAATTTCTAGTGCTCACAACAGAATAAGAAAGAGGTCAAGGCAACCGTTGTCCGTCACGCTCGCTAAGGCGCGGATACTCAATCGTGAGTGTGGGACTTTCCCAACACCGACCCGACAAATTTCCACGAAAAACGAAAAGAAACGAGAGCATCCATGCAATCAGCCCGACCACCCATCTTCCCGCAACTCACCCATCTGACCCGTCTCATTTCCCCAGGCAGTTTTGCGCAGAAAGTCGCGCAATTACAGGAAATGGTTCGTCACATATGTGACGCCCAGGGGGTTCCAATCTTGAGCAAGCTCCCGCTTGCTCACACACTTTACGCGTCGATCCATTAATCCGATGATCAACGTGGAGCTCGCACGTGCCACTTACCGTAGGATCTGAGTGTGGAAGTCATCCAATGTGGCATACGTGGGCTCAATCCAAAATGTTGCCGGGGAAAGGCAATCTAATTACGGGTGGGGAGGGTGGTGGATAGACTTGAGGGGGAGGAGGCATGAAGCGGTAAATTTCCTCGCTGTTGGAGGGGAGTGGGACGTAATGAATGGAGCGATGGATGCGAGGAAAACGAGGGTGCCGTCGTTGATGGGGGAGAGAGGCGAGGTAGTCAGGGTAGAGGGTGCTGAGGGTGCAGCGGATGGCAGCGCGAAAATCGTCATGTTCTTCGCACGGGGGGGGATCGTGCCCACGATGACGCAGTAGACCTCTATATTATTATACTCCCGCCAATCCACGCTAAAGAGGAGGACGTGGAGGGGAAAGAAAGTGACGAGTGAGCGAGTAGTAGCATGCGGGAAGATGGTGACCAGAAGGCGAGTGGCGTGGCAGTGATAGAAGAGGGAGAGGGGAAATGGCTGCCACATATCGGGGAACGGGGGTCGGCCTAGGAGCTGCTGGACGGTGAGGAAGTCACGGGGACGACGGGATAACGACCGGAGACGAAGTCCGAGCGCCAGCATCTTGGTGCAGACGAAGGGTTGTGGATCGAACTGGGGAGGATTGGGAGGGTGATTGACTTCTTCGGTGGCGCCGACTTCTTGATCCCTCTGCGGCGGCGGTTCCATCTTGTTCGTCTTCCTCCCGCGACGGTTCCAGGTCGAGTGCTGGATTGCCCTGCAGTAGTTGCGGCGACGGCCCTGATTCCACGATCGGTTGCTTGCCTTCCGCTGCCTCTCGCCGTCTCTGGGCCGCGGCTTCCGGTTCACTTGTATCCCTCGGCGCATTTTCTTCTTCGTCTGCCTCCTCCTCCGAATCGGCCTCTCCCAGCTCTTCGTCCTCCGATCCTTGATAATCGGGATCGGATTCTCGATCTTCTTCCTCTGCCGATGCTTCTTCTTCGTCCTCCTCCTCTTCTTCTTCACTCGTCTCTCGTGCAGGAGCGCGCCGGATGAGCGGGTCCCACGTGGAAAGATCAGTGACGTCGACGTGTAGATACGAGCCCGCCGAGGGCACGTAGTAGCTTCCTTCCTCCAACTCCGTACACGCGGACCACTGAAGATGTGGCTCCAACGTGCGAACGAGCGTGGTTGTCCAGGGCTTCTGGTCACAGCGCGAGAGAATCTCTAATGGCAGATCGTCGAGTACTTGGCCCAAAAACACCAGCAGTTTGTCCGTGATGGACATTAGGTGGTCGTCGTGCACTTCCCCGAACAGCATCCCAGAAAATCAACCTCCGTGTTCGTTCTCCAAGCCTGGACGAGCAGCAACTTTATCTCATCATCGGGGATCTCGTCCTCCTCTCGGTTGTCAGAGGGCTCCGCCAAGTGGAAGACGACGCCGAGGAGGCAAAAACTGACTGCCACGTATGCTTGCCACCAGTGCTTCCACTTGCTTGCGACTAGAATCGACACGTCCAATTGCCTGATCGTGAAATACCAAGACGCTTCCAAGGCAGATTGCCAAAACGTAGGAACATCGGAGAGGAGACTGAAGGTAGAGAGACAGTGACGGTTCATCGAGGCCGAGCGAAGGGACGAAGCACTGGAAGGGCGACCTTTGGCGCAGTGGAGGAGACTCGAAGCTGAAGATCGATGCCATTCGTCGTTACGACGCGATCTCGTGGTTGAGCCAACAGCCGCACCCACTAGGTCGTAAGGAGCGCTGCCCAGTCCCGCAGTTGTCGAAAGATGGCGGTATGTCGCGTTGGGTGCAGTGTCGTAATGTCGCCTGTAAAGACGACAATGACCGACACGTGGCTCTCGTTGGGTGGGGACATTCACAAAAAAGCCAACACCTCAGCCAACACTCGTGCCACCCCAGACTGCCCGAATTGGAACTCCGTTGCCGCGTGGATGGCCGTCGTAGCGACCTTACTGAAGAAGGCCACGAATCGGAGAAGATTTGTACTCAATCGAGGATGTTGTACTTGTCGGATCGCCGAAAAAGGCTCCCTCAGGCACCATCAGTCGTTCGCTGATCACCTTCTCCGTCGAAAAGCTCATGGCAATGGAGGCGGGGTTGAAGACGATGGTTGAGAAAGAAAGGAGGATTCTAGAAAGTCGTCGTCCTCGTCTTGGTCGAGGGGCGATGCAGATGATGGAGGAGAAGGGGAGGAAGGGAGAGGACGGAGGTAGGACGCGTGTCGAACGATCGGACAAGCCGACCGACTCCCCAACACCTCCGGCGCGAGCCGCACCATGTTCACCCCACAAGGACCAAGCTCGACCACGCGAAATTGCCCGAAAAATCATGGCGCTAACTTGCCTTGGCAAGCACATTTCTTCACCTGCATGGTATCCCCTAATTTATATTGGGACCGAGGCCCAGCATTCCCATTTCGGGCCTCATGGCTTCGGACCTGTCTACCATGGGCCATTTCCGTGATAAGCTGTCTTTTTCGGGCCAGTCGGGGGAGGGCTCTTTCCATCAGCTCTAGGTGGCGTTGGGCCCTATCCTTGACCGTCGCCCTGGTGTTCCGTCGCGGAAGGGCCGTCTCATCATTTAGGCTCGGTAGGGCTACACAAGGCAGGCTCTTAGTCCGTAGTTGGAAGGGGGTCAGACCGATGGACTCGTGGAGTGTCCCCCGGTGGATAGCGAGGATATGGTCCACGATATCAGGCCAAGGCCTCGTGTCATTCACCACGATATTGCGTCGCAAGGCGGTCTTAATCACTCGATTGGCGTTCTCCATCAGTCTGGTGGATTGCGACATGTGGGGAGCAGTGTTTCGGATGGAGATGCCATGCAGGACTAGGTTCCTCAAGACTTCCCCTCTAAATTATGCCCCGTTGTCCGTCAGGATCTCCTCGGTGTCATGGTGCATCCCGAGAAAACGGTTGACGTATCGCGTGATTTCGGTGGCCTGTCGCGTCTAACACAGATAGGTCTCGATCCATTTCGAGAAATGGTCTACGAAAACTAGTAGAATTGAATACTCACAGCTATTAGGTCCAGGCGGAACGACAATATGTGTGGTGTCCATACTAACCCTCTGGAATGGCCGTTCACCTACAATAGGCACTATCGACCTAGACGGCTGAATCGATGCCTTGTCAGCGGCGCAGACCAGACAATTTCAGACGATGAACTTAACATCGTCGTGAACGTTGGACCAATACCATTCATTTTTATCAATTGCTGCCTCCGTGATTCGGACAGCGAAATGAGTTGCAGTTTCCTCGTGGGCTGACTTAACCCAGTCGTACCTAATGAACGGATGTGGGACGGACATCTAAATTCCGCTCCCGTTCGTTTTCCGTTTCTCTAACCGTCCCTCATTCCATCGGTAATCCCTGCATTGCACGCTGTTCACGTTCGGGGGCGAACGCGAACACGTTCGTGAAGGCGCGAACGTATATATATACATACATATATATATACATACATATATATATATATATATATATATATATATATATATATATATATATATATATATATATATATATATATATATAT